CATTGTTAATATTGTTAATATCAGCGCTAGAGTATTGTAAATGGAAGGGTGGGGCTTGACAAGTGTCTAGAGCTTCAGAAGTTCACAGTAACCCATTCGCCAGTGGTTTGTTCCTTTAGACCTATTCCAGAAAACTGGAGTTCACGCCACAGAGAAATATTTTAGATCAAGCTGATACCCTTTGGTCCAAATTTTATCTGGACTCGCAGTTGAGTTGCAACAAGTCTAATTGACCTTCCTAATATCCGGGTGGATGTTTCAATCGTGATTTGGAGTGGTTTGTACTGTGTGGGGGGGAGTTAACCCATGATCTGGCCCTCCCACTTCTCTTCAGTGCGGCTGAATGGGCAGATCAATCTTTCTTCTCTTTCAGTACTCCTTTTTTTTTGTGTGAATTTTAAAAAAAAAGGCTGAAATGAGGCATAAAAGCAAATTGTTTTGTAAAAATTTGTATAATACTGTGATAAAAAAAATAATTTATAATCTTAAAAAATTGTTGTGTTGGATTATTGTGAAATAAACAGTATATTCAGAATAAAAGTTTATCCTTTGAATCGTTGGCTCATCTGTGGATTGTGAACTCCCTTTGTCTTTTAAAAAAGTGTGATGACCCAAAGGGGCATGGCACAAAGGCAACGCAGTCAGACAATAAAGGTCTCTTTATTATCTCCAATTTTGTCCCCAATGTCCAGGATACCTTCTGGCTGGAGAAAAACTCTCCCAGAAACAGCCTTTGACTGCAGAAAATTAAGTCCAAAACATGGTCAACACAAACTGTAACTTAAAGTCCAAAAAAGCTAAACTGAAGTAATTAGTTTGCCAGGGCAGGAGCAAGAATTTCAGACTTGAAGGCCCAGCAAAACTCACACAGTTGGGAAGATGCCAGGAACACAGATAACCGAAGGCAACACAAGATAAAGTCATGTTTGCTCCCAGCAGCCTGCCGCACACAGCCTGTCTTTCTTATAAACTTTCATTCCCAGCTGCAGCTAATGAAAGGAATCAGGGCCCTTTCCTCCCCCTGTAAGTCACGCAACCCACGTTGTTCCCTTCTCCGTTCCTCACTGCATGCCCTAGGATGAAGAGGAAGTGGGCCTGGGTCCTCCTCTGAACTCCCTTTCCCTTGTTCTACCTCTTCCTTGCTCTGCCCAGCCAGACTTTGCCCTTCCACAGCCTCCTCCACAGCCAACGGAGCCACACTCCCATTCCCTGTCGGCTGTCCAGCTTCCTCCTCGGATTCAGACTCTGACAGGGGCATGACAAAGAGATAGCAATGGTGATTAGATTATATGCTGCCCCACAGTGTTCTACAGCACTCTCTAGTGTTCCCAGATCTACTGAAATGAAAGGAGCTGCCCCACGCTAAACAAGATAAGGTATACTGCTGGTAGTCTGCTGTTGGCTATGCCAATTACAATTATGACAGAATATCAGAGTTGGAAGGGAATCTGGAGATCCTCTAACCCAGGGGTATTGAATACAAGGCCTGTGGATCTGGCCCGCAATGTGGAAAATGTAAGGGGCCGGCCTGCATCACTTCAGCCTGGTCTACCCAGCGTGAAGAGGAAATATTGGGCCAGCATGACTTTGGCCCGGTCTACCCAATGCAAAGAGGAAACATGCCAGCAGTTTTGGAAGTGGTGTCAAGCTGGCCATGCCCACCCAGTTAGCCACACCCACCCACTCAGTCATTCCTGGCCCCCGGCCCCCTTGAGGTCAACCACGTCCCTGATGGCAGTCCTCAATGAATTTGAATTTGATACCCCTGTTCTTCCCTGCTCAAGCAGGAAACCATTTCAGACAAGTGGCTGTCCAGTCTCTTCTTAAAAGCCCCCAGGGATGGAGCACCCACAACTTCCAAAGGGAAGTTGTTCCACTGATTAATTGTCTTCCCAGTCAGGAAATTCCTCCTTGGTTCTCGATCGGTTCTGTCCTTGATTAGTTTCCATCTGTTGCAGTGGTGGTATTCTACCGGTTCAGCCTGGCTCACGCAAACCGGGAGTAAAAAATGTGATTGGTTCGGCTGAACCGGTATTTCCGATGATCAGCTGCGCTGCCTGATTTAGATAGCTAGAAAGCAGGAAATAATTGGATTTCTTGCTTTCTAGTTAATCTAAATCGTGCGGCAGAGCTGATTTCCCCTCTCACTGTTGTACTTACCTCACCAGGAGGCTTCCCTGAAGCCCCGTAGGTAAAAAAAAACGGGGTGTGGGGGGTGCTGCGAAAGGGGGAAAAAAAACACCACATAGCCATGACCACCCAGTCACATGACCACCTGGCCACACCCACCTAACCACGCCCACAGAACTGGTAGTAAAAAATTTGAATCCCACCACTGATGTGTTGCTTCTTCTCCTGCTTTGAGGTGCTTTGGAGAACATGGAGAATCTGTCCAAGTTCACACTTCAACCATCAAATTCAATAACCTCCCCACATGCTGTAAGGCTCTATTTGGGGTCCTTTAACACAGTGGCCCCCAACCTTTTTGGCCCCCAGGGACCGTTTCTGTGGAGAAAGTTTTTTCTGTGGACCGGAGGGGTGTGTGGTTTTGCATGCCGCTTGCACCTCAGGGATGGGGCTTCACTTGTTTGTGTGGACCGGTTGTTCCATGGATTGGGGAGGGGGGGGAGTTGGAGACCCCTGCTTTAGCGAACTAAGCCTGCCTTCAAAACTATCCACCTTAAGAAAAGAGTTTATTCAATTGTGCTAAAGTATTGTTCGCCGTGGCACTTTTCTGAACTACATTTTCACCAAGTGCTATTTGGCGCTCACCTCCGTAGAAATGGGAATCCTGATGATTCCACAAAAGATATCTTTATGATTTCCAGAAGACCTTTTGAGTCATGGAGAATTGATACCTGGCTCCTACTTGCTTTTGCTGGATGGATATGTTTTTTTTTTTTTCAAACAGCCCTTTTTAAGTGCATTACCAAATTGTAAAACCCATGCTTTCCTGGTGCAATTGAACTTTTACAATGGCTTTCAAGATTCTTACACCTTCAGTTGAAAAAAAAGGGGGGGGAAGGGGAGATAAGCCCTCGCCCCATGGAAATGATTGGAGTCCCAGTGTAAAATGAATTCTCTATCACAATTGCATGCTCTTTAGCAAAATGCCAGCTGAGCATTCTCCTTGACTTCATGTAAGCTTCAACGGCTCTTCATAAGACACGTCTTAACTTCAAACACTCTACTCCCTCCTTATTTATAGTCAAGGCATGTTTCACCCAATTTTAGTTGACAATATTATTCAAGCAAAACCCTAAATAGATATTAAATGGATGATCAAAGCTGTAGCCAATGTATCTAGAAATGTACACTGAGAGCATTTGCACCAAGACAAATTCCTTGTGTGTCCAACCGCACTTGGCTAATAAAGAATTCTATTCTGTTCTGCATTCTATTGTATTCCATTCCATTCCATTCCATTATTCTATTCTATTCTATTCTATTCTATTCTATTCTATTCTATTCTATTCTATTCTATTCTATTCTA